TATTTAAGCACAGACACTTTTAGGATTGTTTTTTGAATTATGTGCCAAGTTTTTTTCAAAATTACGAATACTTTTTTAATTTTTTTTATATCTTTATTAAACTTTTTATACTTTTTGATTTCTAAAAGACTTTTAAAACTTGAATTTTTGTTTCTAAACCAACTTTTTTGTTTTTCTTTACACATACTTTTAAGTTAACTTGCCATCCACAGTGAGTTGTTTTTGTGTTAAAAAGTGTTTTTATCTAAGTTCAGTGTTGAAACATATTTTTCACACTCTATTTCATATTTTCTAAGCCATTTTTCTTAACATTCATTAAAATCAACTCCTTTAAATTCTTGTACCTTGTTTATGTTATTAGAATATAAGACTTTATAGTTCCTTTTTTTCCATTAAAATTTTTTCTTCCTTATTCTTTGTTCTGGTATTAAGAAATTAGGCCAATTTTCATATGCAAGTCTAAATTTTAATTTTTAAAACAGGAAGATTAATAGAATGACCAAGTTTTTGTAATAAACCCATTTAAAAAAATGGGTTGCACAATACGAAATTTAAAATTTATTTAACTTACTTCTACAAAAAATTTATTTAAAATACTATTGTTTCCTAATATGTATTTATTTATTACTTTTAAAGAAAAAACGTTGTTAAAAACAAATAAAGATAAATTGTTATTTCATATAAAAGTTAAACAAAAGACATTCATTACGTTCGGTATATAAACTTCAAGTGCCTTCATATAATCAAAAACATATTTCAAATATGAAAAGCAATCCGCACAATTAACTTTGCAGATTGCATGTATCTGACGGCAAAAAATATGTTGTGGCTTATTTTCGCCCTACTACCCCAGGCGATGATTGTATAAATTATATAATTGTGTTTAGATAAATAATAGAGTTGGGTTAAGTTTTTTTTGTTAAGATAATTTCAGGCTTTGTATAAAATACCAAAATTTTGGGTCAATATATTTTTTCCAAGTAATAATCTCATTAAGATAAGCACCTAAAAACTTTATAAAAGTACCTCCCTTTATTTTAGTTTCATCAATTTAAATTTGAGACATACTACTTGGTAAAAAAAAAATTGCGCAGCAGTGAAATAAAATTAATTTTGTTTTGGTAAAAGTTTAAGTAAATTTTGTAGCTTTGAACCAATTAGAAATGTTATTGAGTTCTTTGTTTGTAGTTAAGAGTTCATAAACATCAGTATGAGACAAAAAAAGATTAGTATTACCACCAAACATTATACTTTTTAATTTAAAACTTTGTTTAAGTCGTTTAAATAGACTTAAAATAGTAGTGGTCTGAGAATAGAACTTTGTGGAACACCATAATTATGCTCAGTGGTTTACTCTGCTGACGTCATTACTATACACAAATTGTTTTTAATTTGTTTAATAGTTTTAAAACCATTTTAAAATTCTATTATTCAAACCACAATTTTTATATTTTTGGATTAAAATATGATGATCGACCGTATCAAAAGCTTTTGAATGGTCAATAAAAACACTTAGTGAATATTGAGATTTTTCTTAAGATTCAGTAATTTAATAGTCGCCAATTTTGAATAAAATTTTTTTTTTTTTTTTTTTTAGAAGTTTTCTTAAAAGATTTTTGTAATCTTTGTCAATTTTATTTGCTAGCTAGTGTTTTTTTTTTTAATATTCAAAATATAGCTTTCACTTTGTATTGGATAATTTTTGGAACCCTTTGGATCAAGAAAAATATCCCTGTTAATTCCCTTATTAATCCCTGGATTTGAATAATCCAGGGATTAATAAAGTGATTTGTTTTTAATGTAATTGTAACAATTGAAAAATTAGTTTGTAAACAAAGATACTTGTTTTAATGAGCTTTTTATAAGGGTTGTTTGCATTTTCGATAAAATTTAAGTGTTTCCAATGTAATAATGAAAGCTGATTTCTGATAAACTCAATATTTGATAGTTTAAAAAAACTTTTTTTTATGATTTTATTTAATTTTTGCTCAGGCTGTTGGTCAATTTTTATAGTTATAAAAAATGGAAAGTGGTCTCATATACATAATAATACCTTATGTATAATATATACATAAAAATTCAGTACGGCTATTACATCATGTTATAAATAAGTTGAAGTCACTTTGGTTTTTTTCGCAAATGTATGGCTAATAAGGACATACAAATGTTTTTTGTTCAAGTACTTCTTAGCATAAGTGTAAACAAAGGCATATTTCAAATAGGCCTCACCAAGGAATTTAATAATACTCGTGTTATGCTGCATTAACATCTTGTTTTTCCCAAAAAAAAACTATGTGATTCCCTAAACTTTACATTAAATACAAGACATAAAATGTTATAACATGACAACATTTCATTTTCTTAGCAAAAACCATTAGTATAAATACCTTAATCATAGAGTTACGGTATTTAAAAAAAATTGAATTATTAACAATATTTTTTTTATATACTTGACTTTTTTTTTTTTAGTTTATATATATTTGGTGTTTATATAATAAAAAATATAATTACAAAGAAACATTTACATTCGAAAAAAAGTTGATTCATAAAACAGGCAGGGGCTCAAGGAGGATACGTATGAAAGTCACCACAATCTTTTCATAGAGCCCCTATGTGGGCTTTACAAGTTTAAAATAGAATAAGATTGTTAAAAATACAATTGTACAATTCAAATGTAATAAAAAAATATATATATTTACATTTAAAGAAAGAAAGTAAGTAGTATTAATATAATTTTAACAATAGTCATTTAAAAAATACTGACATTGTTTTAAACATTAAAAAAAAGACGCATTTTTTTTTTTCAAACTAAGAATAATGGAATTCGATGTTTATTTTAAAAAATTGCAAAATTATTTATAATGTTTAAAAATTTCATTTTTTATTAGAAACTTAAAGGAGTGTCATGATTTTACCGTACTTAAATGTTTGGTTTTTCAAAATGTGTTCCATAATTTCGGTC